ACGTGAGGAAAACTTAACAGAACTATTTCATTTGTGTCTGTGGCTCTCCTTCGCTCTGTCGTAGGTTTCCTAAAAGGCAAAGGCCAGGCCTACTCCCTGTATGTGTGCCCAGAGCATGCGCACAAAATACTGTTGCATTTCTGGATGGATAATTGAATGAACGTATGAATGAATGAATGAATATGGAATTGTGAAAATCCAGATAGCTTACAGACCCTGTGAAGAGGTAAGGACAAAAAAGCAGGTGCACAAGGCATACATGGAGGGTTTTTTTAAAATATCCTTTTTGTTTGGTTTGGGGGGGAGGTAATTAGGGTTATTTATTCATTTATTTACTTATTTATTTATTAAATGGAAGTACTGGGGATTGAACCCAGGATCATGCATGGTAAGCACACACTCTACCACTGAGCTATACCCTCCTTTCTGAGGTTTTTAAATATCAGGAGATATGAAAAACCCAGATTTACCTTCACTCAGTACCCCTAAAGACACGATCTCCCCAGGGGGTGAGCCATGGAACCAGTATTTCAATGTAGTGGCTATACTGTGTGCAGCTAAGATGCCTCCAAATTGTCTTCCTGTGGCGGTCAAATTTTTAAGAGTTATCACAAAGTCTCTGTTTACCCACTCACTGTAAGGAGAGAAAGAAACAATTTTACAATGGAGGAAGGGATGGAAATGAAAAAGAATGTTCCCAGGGTCAACAGATCTATGTACAAGAAATCATCTCCACGAGACAGAAATAGGAGCTCCTGTGCCCCTTCTTCAATTCCGTAAAGAGTCAATTGAAAAGTAATGAATACAGCAGAAAGGAGTCCTGAAATTTCAAAGTAAAAACACACCAACATAAATATAGAACACAGAAAAGTGGTCAAAGACCGCAAGAACAAAGACTTTCATCACAAAGAGTTTATTCCATGTAGCTGCTATCTTGGAACCAGTGGGATCCCTCGTTTGAAACAAAATAATATCATGAAATGTTGGAATTATTCACACTGAGAACTAGGGAAACAATTAAGTGTCTATAATCTGAAGTTTAAATTCAGGGAGTGGTCCAGCTGGACCAGGGCAAGCGTTAAACCACTGCCTCTGTTAACCCAGCATGATGCAGCTCGAGACGCTGCCCCTCCCCAGGAGCAACGCAGAGGAACTGCTTCCAAGAGGGTGAATCCAGGGACATGTAATTTCTAGGCATGGATGAAGGTCCTATGCTCTGAGGAAGGGAAGGGAAGGAAGGAGTGATGGAAAGGAAATGCTACAATGGGGAAAGTGCTGCAAAGTTTAGCAAACTGTTTCAAGGGTGCTCCTCCCTCTTCCCCCCCATGCCCTTTCATCATGGTGGTGGTGACTGTGACTGGCACAGTTCTAAGCGCTTTGCCTGTCTTAATCCACTTCATCTTCCCAATGACCCTATAAGGCCCATACTCTGCTACCATTTCCACCTGGCAGATGGAAAACCCGAGGCACAGAGACGTTAAGTAACTTCTGTAAAGTCACACAGCTAATGAGTGGTTATGTGAGAATTCCAACCCAGGTGGTTGGCTCCAGAGACGGTGCCCCTCCTCACGTCTCGATTCTGCCTCTCTTGGGACAGAACACCCAGCGTGGCCTGGGCCTGCTCACATCATAATTCCTCTTTCTTAAAGATGTTTCAACTCATTTTAACTTGGACACATATCTCTGTCTTTATGTTAAATTTGATTCACTTTACATATCCTTGCTTCAGCGATAATGTTAATGGAATATGTGAGCCACTTTAAGGATAATCTGAAATATAAACATTCATAATTCCAAAATCATATAAATTGGGGACAGGGACCACCTAGTTGAAATTCTGTGGAATTCTCTACGTTTCTTCAATTGAGAGCATAAACAAGGATGAGTGTCAACAATGTCAACTTATTTTTGGACACAGATTTCTAAGATGATTTAAAAGACTGTAACAGCTATTACACATTTATTCAATATTGTGAGAATACTTCACTTAAAAAGATACCGTACCTATCAAAAATCAGGCTTAAAAGAGGGCGAGAATAGTCAGGTGGTCCCCAAACAGCACTCTCATATCTGTAAATCTTGGCTTTCCTCAGATCAACATAGTTATTTCCACTAATATTACCCCAAATTATCACATCTTTGATGCCTGTGAAGAGAAGACATTTAAAAATAACATAATAATGAACATTAATATTAAAAAACTGCCTGCAGCCTACTTTCTGTTTGTGTGACTGTTTTATGATTGGTCCGTTTACAAACAAACTGAAAATAGACTTAAGTTTCTGCTCCGTAAAAACGTGCAAATGATGTGGATCACCGCCTTAATCACTCAGGTTTGGCCATTCCGAATAATGCTCATGGATGGTGCGGGCATATGACTGAAATACTGAAATGCTCCCCAAAAGAAACTGCTAATGAAAATTATATGATCACTGCGGTCCTAACTGCACCACTCTGCTTGCCATGAAACTTTTTACCTGGTTTGATTCTGACAAAGAGTCCTCGATTCCAGACTGGAATGGCAATTTGAGCGAGTCACTTGACTCTCTGGGTGGCCTCTGTTTCCTTCAGAATAAGGGTGCTGGAATAAGAGGACCCTGAGGAACATCTTAATCAGTGAGGAGTTACTGACTTGGTTTGTAGGTGTGAGGCACTTTTAGATGGGAGGCTCAGAAGAAAATAAATCAGCCCAAATCCTTGCAATATTCTGGGCGTGGAGGGGAGTGGTTGAGAAAACAACTATATACAACATAATATGTACGACAAAGGAAAATATGAGGATGGGGTTAGAGAGAAATGGAGATTGGTATTTAATATAAGTCTAATAATTGTGGATTTTCTAGGAATGTGTCTGAAGTGAAAATCCGAAGTTCTTTATGAACTTATTTATTTGATTAAAAACTAAATTCTCTTATAAGGTCACAGTGTTTTCTATCATGGAGATTAAATTCTTTCCTGCTCTGTATTGCTGTTGGCTTCAAGGAATAGAATATCCTTCTGACTTGGCTTAACTAGTAGGAGTTCACTTTCTTCAGATACCAAATCTAGGTAGGCAGTGACACAGGTGCTTGTTTGACAGCTCAAAGATGTTATTCTATTGGCCTTCCCCTCCTGGTCCTAAAATGGCTGCAGCACCTCCAAGTATCATACTCTTAAAGACTTGTGTTCAAAGGCAGGCAGTAGAGAAAATTTTTTTTCCTATCAGTTTTAAGGCCCTTTATGACTCTAAATGCCTTAAATTATGCCAGAGAAAATTATGGTGGACATCTGCCTTTTTTTTTTCCTCCTAGCATCTCTTCTTACTTTTTTTCCTTTAATGGTATACTGGCTTTTCTTTAAATAGCTAGCCTCCCCCAATTTCAGTCCATTTGGTTTGAGTGAGGCTGTCCTCACCCCTCAAATCTATCAATAGACCTAGATCGAGATTCCTGGCCACAGCGATTGATTTGGAGAAGGGCATGTGGTCCAAGCCCAGCCAATGAGATATTAGCCTGCTACTTTTGTACAGAGAATTGAGAGAGAAATCTGTTTCTACTGGGGCAGCTAAGCTATGATGCCGGTGGCCATTTTGCCACTTTTCAGAGAAAGCCTGCCTGAGAATCAGACCCACGCTGAGGAAAGCAGAGCTGAGTGATGGGCCACGAGAGGGCACAAACCAGGCTTGACATCATCATTTGAACCTAGCATCCGGCTATGCCTGAAATAAGAACCCCCTCCTGCTCTCCTCACAAAAAAATCTCTCCATCTGACTTCAGCTGCTGTGAGTGCACTTTTTGCCATTTGCAGAGAAAGAGTCCCAACTAAGCCAATGCACAGGGTTAGGAGTGAATTGAACACAATGGATAGCCTGAAAAGGTTTGCTACCCTCTTGGCGTCTAGAATTTTCCCGGAATGATTCTCCTTGATGGTTTTTCTAGTTCACGTCACATTGTATAACTCAGTCTTTGTCATTGCCAACTTTCTCCTTGGTACTCTACTGACAAATCCACTCTGGCTGCTGTCCCTCTAATGTTTCTCTTTCTGTGTCCCAACTTGGCTCCACTTTCCTTCTTTTTGCTTCTCCTATGCTTATTGACTTTGAATACAGCAGGGCTTTGAATTTATAGTACCACCACACCCACAAAAGAGCAGCTTTCTGGTTGAAAGCCCCTGTCTTCTTTTAAACTTTATACCACTGCCTCTTTTTGACACTTTTATCAGTGTATCATAGATCTTTTGTGAGAAATCAGTATCCATACGTATACATATAAGGTTGATAAGAGATAAATGATTAGGAAATGTTTTCCTTTCCTACTGCATAATTTTGGTATCCATTTGGCTGAGGTAGGCACTGACGCTGGGGTAAGACACTAATGATTTGTATGCAAGAATGCCAGAAGTCATGGTCCTAAGGCTTTGCTGTTAAGAAATGGACGATATAGCTCTTGCTGTAATGTGTTAGGGGCTCACCAAAGTCCTTTATAGCTCTGATTTAGAGCATTCTAGGCTCCCATTTCACTGTCTTCCCAATTTTGCTTGAGGGAATGCCTTGCACTTCCTTGCGTTCTCAACGGACTCTGTTGCAATGGCTCCATCTAAGGGCACAAATAGCTGCCATCTGTCAAATATGACAAATATTTTCAGATACAGCATTCCCCCTTAAACACAACAACCCATTTCCTGAATCGGTCTCATCCTCATATGATTCTGATGTCTACCAGTTCAAAGATTACAAGGAGCAGAAACTGATCAGATACCATAATTCCTTTAACAAGTTTAATATCCTTGCGAATGTTTATCATGTGCCAGGCACTCCTCTAAGCACTTCAGAAATAGTCTCTTTTTGAATCTTCACATCAGGTTTAGGAGATAGGTGCTATTAACACCCTCCTTTTTCAGATGAGGACAGTGAGGCAGAGCAAGGGTAAGTGGTTAGTTACCCCAGGTCACACAGGTGGGAAGTGGGGTGGAGCCACTTGAACAGAGCGCTGAGTATTTTTTTTAAAAACACTGATTACCTTAGTTGACTACTGTCATGGGAAAAAAATGGAATATTAAGTTTCAAATTACTACTTCAGAAATATAAATCTTATTATTTAAAATCTTTGTTAATTTTATAATTATTTTTACAATGATGGGAAAAATCAGATAGTCATAAAAGCTGGTAAAAAAAAATGTTTGCACAGTAGTGAAATCACACAATCAGAAGTTCTTTGCATCTGTTTCATACTTTCTAGTCCAGATATCCCGAATGGCTTTAGAGGGGACAGTATTTCTAGATGCTCTGAAATCGTGCTGTTTAAAACCAGAAACAGAAACAGGAGCTCACTCACATGAGGGAGTTGTCTTCAGTTTCCTGGCCAGCGTGGCCTTTGCTTGGCCTTCCACCCCCAATGCCACAGCGATAATATTGCGGGAGAAATTTGGGGCATATCTCATAAGTAAGGCCGTTTTGAGATTCACGAAGCTTTTTCCTCCGACAATAATTCTGACGGAATCGTGAGCATTCTTCTCAATCAGGGACCCGTAGAGCTGACACAGAGGAGCCCTGCTTCGGATGCAGTCTTCTAAACTGTACACCTCCCGGTCAGTGCTGTGGTCCAGGACGATGATCACCTGGGCCTGGCGGAAGGCCTCCTCCGCTTGGGTGCAGATGGAGACACTGCAGAGGATGGGCGAGGCCAGGTCCTGAGCCTCTCTCATGAGAATTTTGAGATCTTCTTCTGCCTGCTTATGGTCAAATAGGTTTATGCTAATTTCCGTATGCTTTCCGAACACTTCACCACTTGTCAAGATGGGAATCAGGTTGTAGCAGGCCAGAGAGGATGCGCTAATAGAAATGAAAAGCTGGATTATGAATGGTTACATCTTTTGTTCCTTTTCAGCCTTTATTAAGAATAGACATTTTTCTGCATGTGCATTAACAGGATGATTTAATATCTTAAATAGGCATACACAGCTGCACAGACTTTTTTTAAATGGAGGTACTGGGGATTGAGCCCAGGACCCCGTGCATGCTAAGCATGTGCTCTACCACTGAGCTATGCCTACCTCCATGTACAGACATTTTTAACCCTAGAAATCAAAACTAGGTCAGAAAAATTCTCACTGTTAACTCCTTGCTCTGGCCATCTTAAAACAATCCCAAAGTAAGAAATGTACCTGTTTATAAGGCTTTTCAAATTAAATAGAATACACAGAAAGCAAAACTTAAAAAGAACTGTGTCATATTACTCAAATTACATGTTTACATTTTTTTCTTAAAAAGATAAGGAAATCAGTTTCATTTAACCATAGCTCTTTTCTATATCATACCTTTAGCTACAAAGTAATGACATCTTTTAGAAGGGAATATTTTTTCCAAGTCCTTATAAAGAAGCCTAGGATCAACCCAGGCGAGGTATCATGTATCTGTACCTATGATTCAGCAGGTATCTGAGTGTCCTGTAGCTTGGCTGTCAACTGAGAGCCGTAATGACCCCTGAGGGAGTTCAGAAATGCATCTGGGCATTTTGGGTTTTCAGTGGGTTCAGGGAGGGGTGCAATGGGGGTTTCAAGAGCATCTGTACCATTTTAATCCTTTAAAAATATCTAAAGCAGATGTAATCTTTATTAAATCTGGGTGTTAGGTTCAATCTCAATTATTTTCTGCATTTGAAATATTTCATAATAATAATTTTTCAGATGAGCCTCTACATTAGGATATAGGCATATGTAGTAAGAAGGGCACTGTGAGACACAGGTGGGGAAAGGAAAGGTGGTGGGGCAGTGTAGACAGAGCAAGATGGACAGCAGGAGAGAGAGAGAGTGCAGAGATGGAGAGAAAAAGCAATGACAGGGACTGCGTGTGCCCATGGCTGAGAGTGACCAGGAGTGAAAGTGAGAAGGAGAAAAAGTAAGATGGGGCGAGAGTGTGGGGGGCGAGCTTACTGAGAACGAGTGCATCAGGAAAAGCTAAGGACGAGGACAGCTCTGGCAAGTGGGAAAGAGGTAGAGGGCAACGGTCAGTGAGATGGGGGAGGGGAGGAAACAGGCAAGGGAAAGGGACGGAAGGACAGACAGCAGATGGCCTGAGACACAGAACAAGGGGACGAGAGCTGGAGACAGTGATGCAAAGTAAGTATCTTTGCTATAAAGTTGCTCTTAGATTTAATATGTATGTATATTACATGCATATTACATACCTATTAATAAATCATTATATAATCTAAAACTCAGGCATGGGGCTATATTACAGGATATATATGCATATACATATTTTATGTACACATAATATACATACAAATCTTAAACTTGACATTCGGATATTATTCCATCATGGAATTAATCCACATCATTGTCCCTTCTGAATATAAAATACCCAGTCTCACGAACCCTGGGATTTGACTGTCCCACCTGGTGATCCAGACCTGCAAGGGGCCAATGAGACCTTTCAGGGATTCTTCCTCCAGCTCTTTTTCTATGTGTGTCCCCAGGTTCTCTTGAGCAACCATCGTCATCAGCTCAGTCGTCATGCTAGAGGTGACACCATAGTAAAGCTAAATAGTGAGAAGGAAAAAGTCAACAGCAGAGAATAGACAATTAGCCAACAATGGCTAAAATGGAAAGGTTTTGTTTAAAGCTTGAATACAGTAAAAAGAGAGAGCTGAGAGGACACATCAGGAAGTAAAACATTTGAAAAATAAAACGACGTGAAAGAACAATAATGTTTCGAACAGACAAGCCGGCTTAGTTGGCGTACCTGGGCGTACTCCAGGAACTCATTGTATCCTCCCAGAAGCAAACCCTTTCCTCCACGATCCAGCAGCTCTCTCCAGATGATGGGGGAGTTTTTGTGACTCCACTTATTCTTTTCACACAAAGCTTTCAGCCACTCCTATTGAATGATATTCCACAAAAAATCATACATTGGATCTGCCTCAGAATTCAATTCAATACTTTAGAGTTCAAACATTAAAATATTAACTTTTTTTTTCACTACCACTGGGTATACAGAATAAAATTTAGATATCTTTAAACTGTGAAATACAAACACAGAAATAGTGAAGAGTTAAGTTACAAATTAATCAAGTAAACAAGGATAGACTTCAAATTTGCAGACCAATAAAGGTACTGAAAGTTGCTCTCTGCTGAGAAGACCTGAAGTGAAAGTGTCTAGCTTAGAAACAGAATCCAAGTCTTCCAACATAGGAGATGTTTCTGGCTTTAGGGCCATATAAATTTGACATTCCTTTCCAAATATGAAAGTATAGTTTATATGGTTTAGATCAAATTAATAAGCTAAAAGTTATCTAGGGGTTTCTGATAGCATTTATTAGAAAAAGTTTAAATCATTATTATCTGGTAGGTGTGTTTCCAATGACAATATCTGAACAAAGGCAGAGGGCAACACTGCTATGGGTAAAGTACATGGTAACATTATTGTCTTTGATGCAATGAGGCTACCTTACAAATAAAATCTTAGAAATGAATTCCCCTTGTAGATGTTTCCACTGTGGTCCCTCTAATCACAACATAGCCTGACCAGTGGAGTGCTGAGCCTCTGGAGGGAAGGGACTCTACCTCAAAGGACCTTCAGCACCAAGCAGGGCATGTTGATGTCCTAGGAGGAGCTGGGAGAATACGTATAGGATTGGACCCTGAGGTTGCTGAATCAAGAAGGAAACACAAAGTTGGACAAGGGAGAATTTATAAGAAGGCATCACTCTTCTGCTATTCAAGAGCATACATACTGACAAAGACCTCAAAAGATAGAGAGAATATGTTGCTAGGATGGCTCTCCAAAGCTTGCAGGAAGTGATGAAATAAAATGGAAATGTCAGAACCATCATGAGAGACTAAGGAAGACGGGATCAAAAAGCTTAGAAACATGGATATGCCAGAGTAGATATGCTACTCTGGAAGGCTGGAAATAAACTAGTTAACTATTTTCTCCAGAGGGCCCAGAGGACACTACATTCACCAAAGTGATAAGGAATGCATTGGTGAGAGGGCTCTCAGCATCACTGAGAAGCCCAGTGTGGCTGTCCATTCTGGACCATGGCTGTTAAAGGACATGCTGTTATAAAGCTGGACTCCCTGGCAGTTGGGATGATAGAATCCTGAAATAACAGAAGCCAGGGGGCGGTGCCCATCTATTGTGAAAGAAGCACTCAGCAACTGAGCAGTGAGATAACTAAGACAGCTGAAAAGAAATAATAATAAAAATAAAACTTGGATAGCTGAAGGCACAATGGGGACACAAAAATGTCAGACATTATGCAATGGCCCAGGTAAACAAGCTACCACTCACCAAGCTGATCTAGCCATTGCTGCTGCCATTAACAGAGACCAACACTGACCTCCTGTTAACAGCACTATCCCCAGCCTCTTGGTGGCAAATTGATTACATTGGACCCTTCTATCCTGAAAAGAGCAGTGATTCATCTTGATTTGAATCAACATATATTGCCTTTATTGCTTGTAGGACTTTGGTCAGCATCCTGTTCAAGAGGTTACAAAATGTTTAACCTACCAACATGGGATCTTCCATAATCTCACTCTGAACCAAGGAACCCATTTTAAAGTAAAGGATGTGTGGCATTGGGCATGTAACCAGGGGACCCATTGATCCTATCATATATTGTACCACCTAGCAACCTGACAGAGGGATGGAGCAGCCGACTGGAGGTACAGGCACCAGCACTTTGCAAGGATGGGGCATGATCTTTCAGGATGCAATATATACCATAAGTCACTATAGAGTTTTGCCCCAATAAGTAGAATACCTGAATCCAGGAGCCAAGGGTGGAATTAAGAGTGACCCTGCTTACCATCACTTCCAGTGCCCCATGGAGGGAATTTATGGTTCCCCACACTCCCTAACCCTCAACTCTGTGAATTTGGAGGTTCTAAATCCCAGCGTGAGGGGTGCTTCTAACAGGAAGAGTTCCATCAAACTTTAAGCTATGGCTGCCACATGGTCACTTTGAGCTCCTGTGCCAAGAGACCAGTGAGCAAGGAAATTGCCCCCTGTTGATTAGGAGAACATAGGGCAGCTGTTACCCAATGTGGGCAGGAAAGAATGTTTGGCAGCTAGGTGATCCATTGGGGGCATCCTTGGAAATGCCTTGCTCAGTGTTGACAACAAATGGACACATGCAGCAGTCACATCCTGAAAAGGGAATAGAGATGCGGGCCCAGACCCTTAAGGACACAGGTCTAAGTCACTGCACCTAGTAAGTCACCTGGACCAGCAGAGGATGAGGGGAATCTAATACAGGGAGTAGAGAAGAAAGGTGACTCATGTTGGTTACCGTGCTGAAATGATGTACAATGGAGAATATAGTTCATTTGACTAAACTTCCTCTTGCAAAGTTTCCCCAGAGAGAGATGCCAACCAGAATTCTGGAAGAGCTGTTTCTGGATGGTGTGAACTTACTATATGGAGCACGTGGATCCAAAAGGCACAACTGGTGAACTGGAGCAGATCTTGTCACGTGTAGTCTCCAGTCCTCCTTCAGGACCAAGGCACTCATTCCCTCCACCACCAGCTGTATTGGCTGCTGATGGCTCAGTGCTGAGTCTCTCTCCAGATCCTAGCCAAAGGATGTTCCCTTGCCTAAGGTGAAGCCCCTTTCCCAGGGCAGCCCATATCCAACAACTGTTAGCTGTGGAAGCACAAAAGCCCGGCCCCGTTGCCTGTTTTGGGGGTATCTCTGAAGGGCCATCCCAGCTTCAGTGATCCCTGTAGGGCTGGCTGAGCTCTCTGTCGCAGGTGGATGGCAACGCTGCCCAATCCTGCTGCCCTCATTCCTTCCGAGGATGTTCTTCCCAAGAGCACTCCCCCATAAAGGAAACACCTTCTCCCAAATTTCCATCTCAGTCTGTTTCTGGGGAAACAGTCCCCAGTGAAGGGTATATCAAAGAAACAAGTCTTTCATGTCATTAGATATCAATGTTAAGGAGAATTTAAAGTTAATATAAGCTACCTGGATTCTTGGGAGAAAAAAAAACAGCCAAATTTATTCAACTTATTAGTTAGGGCTTCATTCGCTTTACTAGGTACTAGGAAAAAAAATATAAATAGTGCTTTGAGACTGATACGTATGGGTTTATTTCACTAGTATTAAAATACCAATAGTACATGAACATTCATTATTGGAAAGCTATCTGATACATCAGCTAACATTTAATTAAATTAGAAAACATTTTTATGTGTGTGTGAATTCAACAAACTGCAAAGGCTTCTTACCTCCCAAACATGAGGATGTTGTGTAATTTTATGTATCCGAAAATCAGGAAGATTCTTTTGTAAATAATCTGCCACAAGTTCTGCTTTAGCATAATATGGGCAATCTGCTCTACCTAAAAGAGTTCAAATTAGCAATGTTTTCTTTCATCACATGGAAATTATCATTTAGTTACAAGTATTTGTCATATAGTCACAGAATTAATCACATAGTTATATTTTATATAGTTATAAATACCATCATATAAACTTCTAATTTTTATTATACTGGTAAAACAAAACAAATTTCATAGGAGGTGAGAGTCGTAAGTAATAAAATGTGGAAAGGAAAAAAAGACCATTGAAAATGTACTCTCCTCCAGCGCTAACTTCGTCCTCACTTTCTCTAAGACTGCCATGCTACTAATTACACATGAACCACTAATAATGAACCATGCATTAGTAGCTACGCAAGTCAAAATGTGAATGAGGAGTGGTGGTAAAATCACATGTGGATCTGAGGGTTTTGGGAGAAGGAAAAGTGGAGGGAGAGAGAAGAGTTGGGGATAACTTCTATTTTCTGGCTTGGGTAGATGATCCTGATCTTACTAGAGAGAAATCATGGGTAAAAAGTTTTAATTATAGGCGAGAACAGTTAGAAGTATCTGTAGCATATCTAAGTGGATATGACCAGCAGGTAGCTGTACTTCTAAGTTGGAACAGCAGGCTTCATGAATTGGCTTAGGATACAGATTTTGCAGCCATCAACATACAGAGTTAAAGCCACCAAAGTGGATAGGATTGAGTGTCTGATAGGGGGCAGGGGCCAAGTGCAGAACCTTATCTATAGCATTCTTCCCCACTTACTCCCAGTCTAGAGTTCTTCAACTTCATGGTGACTTCTAAGTCATCAACCCCTCTCAACTTCCCCCTGTCTATTAGCCTCCCTGTCTAGTTCGAAACCACTGTTCATGAATTCAAACCACTCTCTGGCTCATGTCTTAAATTATCTTGCCTTACTTTGCTTTTGGCAAATTAGCCTGGTAAAAGTAACCTGTCCTGCCAATGCCGCAAATGCAACATTCTTTGTACATGTGTTTACCACTGTCTTCCCAGAATACAGTCTGTCATGCTCAAAAATATTCGTCTGAATGAATAAAGAAACAAAGGAAATAGGTTTCCAGCCAAATGAGAGATAATTGTGTCAATGCATCAAAGAGGTCAAGTGAGACAAGGACAGGCTTCGGTGAAAGTCATTGGTAACTTTGGTGAAAGGAGGTGAGGCCAGATTGATGGAAGGAGGACCTGGAAACTGAAGAGTAGTCTACTTTGGGGGGTGGGGGGGACTTGCTGAGAAGGAAAGGAGGCAGGTATAATAGCCTATTGCAGTAAAAGCCTCTTCAGTGGTTTTCTGGATGTCAGTCGACATTTCCAACATTTCCCCTCTATTGCTGACAAAGTGGGCTTCCTAAAATGCAAGCCCATTGAGAAACTATCCTGTTTAAAATTTTTCAATGACTCCTCATTGCTTTCAAGATACCGTTCAAACACCTCTGCTTGCATCTGGCTCTTGCTTCCATTCCAGCCCCAGGTACAGTCACTTCCTCCATATTCAGATCCTCCGTGAGGTCATGAGACTTCTAGCTTCTGTGCCTTTATCTGGAATGTCCTGCCTATTCCAAACCGTCACAAATCAGCTCTTGTAACTCCCCAGAGCCCTGTGCACATCTCCCTCACAGCATTAATCACAATATATCAAAATTATTCGTTTACATGCTTCTGTACCCCACAAGACCGAAATCTCCTCTAAGGCAAGGATGTGTCTTCTTCCCCGCCACTGCAGCCCCTGTGTCTGGCAGTGCTTTGCACACACTCACTGCCCTATAAAGGTCTTCGACCGCATAAGAAAGCCTGGGCGGTTCATATAAAGGCTGGAGCTACTAAGACAGAAGCCAGTTAAGAAGATCACTACCAAGTCATAGGAGGTGAGCTGTTGTCGGTGTTTTGAGCAATCTGCGGACGGACGCCGGGATCACTCACCAGCGAGCACGAATTTGGCCATGGTGAAGCCGGGACCCAGAGGCTGGAACCGCGGCTCCACGGTTTCCAGGCAACCACGCCTCTGAGGACGCGGCGCAGGCGCACTCTAAAGCTGAGCGCGGAGTCTGTCGCCCAGTTGGAGGGGTTAGGTACTGGGGTATATGATTATACATTGCCACTAAAAGCTGCGTGATCACCTTTACTCCTATTCCTGTAGCTAGGAAAAACGAGTCGTTCTTTTCGGTAGGCTTTCTTCACTCTAAGAAAGCCGCCTGCAATTGCCGCGAACGTACACTTTTTGACCTAGGAAGGATCCGTAAAATCTCGCGATACGCTCAGCTCTCGGGGAAACTATCATGGCTGCGCCTGCATGTAACTGGGGGTTTTGATCTAAGGTGAGTGGACGACGAACATAGGCAAAACTCTTCAGGCTTCTTTCCTTTCGGAGAAGGGTCTCAGGAGTTTCCTAGAAAGTAAGTTTAGGGAGGTGGGTTAATACTTGGGGGCCCAGCTCCGAAAGGACGGACTCCTGACACCGGTTCTGAGACCTGGTAAAGACTGGCTGCTTGTGTCTGTCTGTTTAGCGCGGGCCGCGTGCAAGCGTCACTTTAATTTGCTGCTTCCTCTCCTGAGCCGTTCTCCTTGTCCAAGTACTTACTCTTAATAGTCCTCGTTCGGCCGTTGTTAAATCCTCGTGTTAAAAAAGTATCCATCAACGTTAAACCCTTAATTTTCATTGAAGACATCTCCAAGGCAATAATAACATAAAATCCCTTACTGCAGAGGAAGCTTTGTAGGAAAACTTTCCCATCAGAAACCCGCGTCATTTTTTAACAACAACAACAACAAAAAAAACCCTTGTTTACACAACGACGGCTTTCAAAGTAACGTTGCTCCTTTAAGACGTGTATACACATTGTGGTAGAAGTGGAGGAAGACTATATTGGTAAAATAGTTTTACTTTCTTAACGTAGATCTTAATGTCTCTCTCTGTTCCCACTTAAGTCTCTGTTAAATACATTTCATATATTTAAGTAGAAAGTTTACTCAAATTTTTATTTTTTCATAACCCCTTCCCCTACAGGAAAACAACGGCATGTGTTTTCTTTCATGAATAGAAGCGACGTGTTTGTCATCTTGACAACTTTAAAGCCATTAGAAAGTGTTTCAGCTGCTGGCAAAATGAATAACAGAGCAGGTTCCTTTTTACAGAACCTCAGGCAATTCAGAACTTTAGTTCCAACGGGCAGAACTGTGAGGCTGTATCCTTCGGGATTTTGCAGACCACAAATTGTTTATTCAAACTGGAACGCAAGAAACTTCTTAAATAACTTTGATAATACAATACAATCCTCTATTAGATGTCTCTTTCAGAATGCCCTAATTTGTAAATCAGGAGATGATGGCTTTCAAACAAAGGGCATAAGAATTTTAACAGCGCTTACAATTGACAGACTACTTTGTCCTAGAAGACTGTCCTTTGACTCAAAACACTTCCTTGTCTCTGATAATGGATTGAAGAAAATAAACTTTCATCATGAGGCCTCCAATGAAGAAGTCACCAAGCGAACAAAACCAACCCCTGTCAGCTGTAGAAAACTGTCTGAGAAGTGTAATTCCCTGAGTGATGTATTAGATCTATTTTCTGAAGCACCTACATTTCCTAGTAGTAACTATTTCTCAGCAATGTGGGTAATTGCTAAAAGGATGTCTGATGACCAAAAGCACTTTGAAAAGCAACTGATGTTTAACCACCCTGCGTTTAGCCAGCTGTGCGAACACAGTATGAGAGAAGCCAAGATCATACACTGTAACAGCCTGCTGTTCAGTCTTCATGCTATGGTGAAGCTTGGAATTCCTCAGAACACCCTACTCATACAGACTTTGCTGAGGGTGGTCCAGGTAAAGTCAAAAGGAGACTTAAATATACTTTTATTTGGTTTAGTGTATCTTGAAAGAATGATGGGAAAAGGTCATGTAGCCTCCTTGAAAGAGACTTATCAGTGAAATGGTAGTTTACTTATTTTTATTTCTACATAGGTAGTGTATGATTTAGAGACCCTAAGTTAGCTAGATCTTCCTTCTGCTATAGAACTTTATGAACGCTTGCCCCATTTTTCTTCTCCAGAGTTCAAAAATAGCGAATAAGCTAAAATGAGGAGAGATTCAAGATATACAAGGAAAGATTGGGTACTTGAAAAAGAGTGAAAAGGGGTCTAATGTTTATTGAGTAACTACACCATTTACCTGTATAGTCTTGACCAGTCTTCACAATAACCCTGTAAGGTTGATGTTATCTCAGTTTTGCAGATGAGGAAACAGATCTAGTGATGTTAAGTCACTTGGCTAAAGTCACACAGCTAGTGGATTCCTTTATTCATGCAATAAACATTACTACACTTGTCACCAGGGATGTAGCGATAGAGAAGACATCTTCCTGTCCTTATAATCTTGAAGGGAAGACAGCTATTTTGTAGGTAATTACAAAAATAACCTTCATTTAACGAGTCACACATTTACTATGTTATAGGCATAAGACTGAAACAAAGGGGGGCAAATTATAAAGAACCTTTTATTCCTGGCTGAGGAGTTTGGGTTTATCCTATGGACAATGGGGATCCATTGAAATATTTTAGGCAAAGATCGACATACTCAAATTTATATTTAGATCACTGTGTGAGTGGGAAATGGATTGGAAAGAGAATGAAATTGGATAGGGGAGCCACTTTTAGTTTCAAACAAAGGATCAATGTCCTTTTTGATGTCACCGAAATGACACCAGACTTGGCTAAAGAAAAATACATTAAAAAAGTCATTTACCTTTTAAGAGTGGACTCTTCAGACTTCTGAACTCAGTGATCATAATGAAATAATTTTTTAAAAGACAAGAATTTCCTGAGGATGATCTGACATATATCCTACCCTACTATAGAATTCAAGAATTGAGTTCATAGATATATGAGAGTTTTTAACCTCAACTTTTCATTATTGTAATTTCCATATATTCTCAGCCAGGAACTAATTTGTATTTTGTGTGTGTGTTTGAACTGCAGTATATCCATTTTTTTGGTAGACTGTGTTTCCTATATAGTTATTTAAAAGTGATTACAGTAAGTCACTCTACCTGGTCAGTGATGCTCTAAATGAATTTTGGACAGGTGTTCACATCATAGCATCTGCATTGGTGAGGTATAAACAGTGAATATTTGGAATCAGAATATATAGTTGTATCTCACCTCACTAACCTGTTGAAATGTTGCAAAGACATTTTAGCTGTGGTTGAAAGGATAATATATCATCAGGGAATTTGCCCTTCAAACCCTTGGCCAAGTGGTCTTTTCTTTTACAGCAGATTTCAAACCCTTGGCCAAGTGGTCTTTTCTTTTACAGCAGATTTTGACATAATGCTCTAAATTGTTAGTGGAAACCCTCTCATGGGAATGAGACCTTTTTTCCTTCCAGTAGTATCCGTTTTTTATCTGGTTCTGACTTGAGACTTTGTGACTTAATAGTCATGTAATTTTAGCAAAAGAGCATACATCTTTCAGCCTGCGTTTCCTCAGATACAGTCACAAGCACTCTTGAGTGTATAGACTAGTTGTGATTAAATAGTAGAGTGCTAAGGAAGGTGTATTGTTACTAGTCACTTTCTAAGAGAGGCCCACCGCCGCTCCTGGAGCCTGAATTAGTACCCAAGTCAGGGGATTTGAAGGAAGGATCTACGGAGCCTGGGGCTCCTCTTGAGGCCCAGATAGTGGTGGTAAAATGTGACAGCAGATGTGAATCAGAAAGTTCACAACTGAGGCTGCACTTTGATACCCAGGAAAGGATATAGGGAAATTGTAAGGGCACTGATGTTTAAGATTCTTTACGAATGGGAAAATTGCCCTATAGGTCTTATATTACTGGACTTCTTGTCGCTGTGGTGGCCTTGGGTCTTAAGAAAGGGTAAAAATAATGTTTGATAAAGAGTTATTTAAGAAGCAGAGGAATATAATCAATGTCAAATGGATTTTCAGTGATAATGGGAATGTAAAAAAGGTGTTGATGCATAAAAGAATGTGTATTAATTATTTGGAAGATTTTTTTACATATGACATCTTATTTTCCAAAGATGCTGTTTACTGTGGACTGACTGAAATTATTGGTTTGATACTTAATCCTTTACTTAAAAGCATCGGTTCATTAGTTTTGCTTGGGTGAGATAGTCTACTATCAGCTCATCATCTATAGTGTTTTTTGTAATTATATTTCAACAGGAGCGTATCAATGAATGTGATGAGAAATGTCTTTCAATTTTGTCAACTATTTTAGAGGCAATGGAGCCATGCAAGAATGTGGATGTCCTTCGAGCAGGGTTGCGGTGAGAACTCTCTTATGCTTTCTCTGTTTCTCTTATCGCGAATAAAAAACCAAGATGAAAGTCAAGCTTCTCTTTTTTGGGTGGCGGTGGGGTGGGGGAAGACTTTATTGGTAGTTATAGTCTTTAATACCATATTAAACTTAAAATCCTGACTCTGCATCAGGTAAAGCTGGAAATAATGCTTCTTTCAGGATCCAACATAAAAAAGGTGCGGGTAGCATTGAAATCTAAAGTTATCTTAAAGCATAGTACTGATGTGCGCTGGGGAAGAATTGTTACGTACTCAATTCGTAATGGTTATTTGAGCACTATGTGGAGGTCACATGACACTGGCCCAGCTAGAAAAGGAGGTTGAAATTAATGCAACTCATCTAATGTCATAGGTTGGTGAGAATAATTTTTAATTCTCTCTTTCCTTGACTATGCATTGAGATATCCTGGTTTAATCTCCCAATATTTGTTCATGCATAAAGATAGCAGAATAGTGTGAGAGGAAACAATATGAGGCTGGTCCTGGAGCTCTCACTCACTATTTAGACTCTCTTGGGCAGGCAGATCTTTTCTTTGGGCTTCATATTCCTTGTCTAGAAGTCGGAGCTGGACCAAATGACTTTTAAGATTTCTCTTCTGGTTTTAAGATCTTAGGACTGTGGTATTTATTCTGTTCAATGACAGGATGCTAGTTGATCAGCAAGTCTGGAAAATAGAACATGTCTTCACTTTACAAACTGTAATGAAATGTATTGGAAAAGATGCACCGATTGGTCTTAAAAGGAAATTGGAGGTAAACACCTTCTGAATTTTCTCTGTTGGGTGAAATTTGAAAAAAAAAATTTCTTGTGACTTGCTATCACCTCCTAAAGTCAGTTTTTTAGAAGGGTGTTGTTGTGCTTTTGGCTTTAACTTTGCTGAACTGAAATAACAGAAGTAGATTTATATTTATCTGTATATATGAGTGTTTACATATATTTATCTATGTATCTAGTTGTCTGACTTTGCTCAGACTTAATCTTTTTTAATTTAAAAATAAAAGTTTAGTCTACTTTGCTACAAGTGATAAACTAAATTTAAGTTTGTTTTTCTTTAGATGAAAGCCTTGAAGCAATTAGACCAATTTTCTGTTTTGAATAGCCAGCACATGTTTGAGGTACTGGCTGCCATGAATTACCGTTCTGTTATCCTTCTGAATGAATGCAGTGCGATGGTCACAAGTAAGGGCAATTTTTCTTATGTGATGTGTAGCATCTGGCCTACTGTTTTGGACTTTATTGTTTTGTTTGTTTTAAAAACTTTGCAGTTATATGAAAAATATCTGATGATATGGTTAGAGCGAAGTTTTATTTTTGCCTGTAGTTTTGTTTTGTTTTCGTTTTTTTACAAAATATAGTGATACTTTTTTTAAAGAAACAAAAGTGTTGCATATAGAATATCTTGGATCTTACAGTCAGAGCCATTAATTTTTGTTTATCTAACTCATTCTTAAAGGTAATATCCATGGATGTCCTTTAAAAATCTTAATCAACATATTGCAGTCTTGCAGAGACCTCCGATATCATAATATGGATCTTTTTAAGGGAATAGCAGATTACGTGGCTACAACTTTTGACATCTGGAAGTTGAAACAAGTACGTATGTTAATAGTTTAGAATAAGTCTCAGAAACTTTAAAGACACATATTAATTTCTTTAGCATTTGAAGTATTTCTCTATCAGTTTAAAGCAGTTAAGATTCCAAAATATTCTAATGCTAAACTGACTTGAAAAATTAGCTCCTTATTATTTCTATCTGGGGGTTACCTGTTAATATACTGTTCGGTGTCTTGACATCCTTCTATATGAAACAAAAATTATATCATCCAAAGTTTGCTTTTCTGTTTGTTTTTTTCAAAAGATTATATGGTACTTCAGTTGGAGACTCAGGGCTGTTTCTGTCTTTCCACTTTTCCTTTGTTAGAATAATAAAGACAGGTGATGTGACAGGCTTATGCTTTTTGAAGAATAAAATGTCACTAGTTAATGATTGTATGTGTTTTCTATTTGTGAAATGTTTGCTTGTTTCTTCCACAGTCAGAACCTTTAAATTCAGGGGCTGTGTTAATAATAAAACATCTAAATGAAGCAGCTGGTAAAAAACTTCTTTTGGTGGTGAAGTAGTGGCAGCCAGGTCAAATCCCTGGTTTAGTCAACTTTGGAAGGGAGGAAAGGGTGAATATTGAGTTTACTATGGAAGTTGATTTTGGAAAGGGAGTTCCTAATTGTGAGAAGTGCTTATTGTGAGAAGGACTAAGAGGGAAATGAGAGGTGAACTGGAACATTTATGTTAATCATAGTACTTCAGCTCCATTCTCATTAATAGGAATTAAGTTTGAACATAGAAAATTTTGAGTTATCTATTAGAATCTAGGAAGTGTCTAGGTTTAGAAGGGGGAGCAGTTCAAAATTGACTTGGTTATTTTGAAAAACTTCAGAAAAGGTATATTTAAAGGTAATTTTCAGGTCTTTTATATGAAAAGCATGTAGGAGAGGATTTCTTTTAAATGAAATGGAAATAAGGAAACCATTGTGTGCTCTGGTTCTCAGTTTAGGAAAAGAGATTACCCTGATTCAAGAATAATTGGAACGGATTTTGTGAAGAAAAGACAATCGTTTCTTTTAAGGGGATATTTGGTCAATCAGGACAGTTCTATTGCTGTTTACATTTTCTGAGATTTAAAAAAATTCCCCTTAGCATACTGTAATCCTTTAGAAGTTTTCCCTCAATTCTTTATTTTTTTTAGGTTCTTTTTCTCCTGATTTTATTTGAAAACTTAGGTTTTCGGCCTGTTGGTTTGATGGACTTGTTTATGAAGAAAGCAGCAGATGAACCTGGCTTCCTAAATGTGAAAAGCCTTGTCTCCATTCTTAATGTGTATTCTTCTCTCAATCACTTGGACACATGCCAGGCCCACGAGTATGTACTTGTTCTGTTTGTTTTTTTAACTTTTTTATTGCCACGCCTCACACTTAGAGGACAGGTTATAGGTCATCATAAGCTCAGTGAATTATTACAAATGAACCCATCCATGGCCATCATCCATTTCAAGAAGCAAAACATAATATTCCTTATTTATGAAGTTAAATAGAATCTTTTATTTTATCTTTGCTGTTTTTCATCTTGCTTGTTTCTTTGTTTTTTTTTTAAATGATATTCTTGTTAATTCAGCACAGACGTTTTCATTTCAAGCTCTCCCAGCTTATATCTTCAACCCCTGAATTTATAGTTTAGTTTTGACCCTAACTATTCATTTGGTCCCAAAGTGCTGCTGTCTCTTCTTTTCATGTTTAGCCACAGCCATGCATTTCTGCTATTAAATACAACGCTTCTTCAAACATGCCATGCTCTTTTGTATCTCTGCTCTCTACCCAGAACATCTTTCCTTCCTGTCTACATTGTTAGGGTTCATTAAAAACCAGAAATGCACATAACATGTCATAACTGGCAATTAGGTATAGCGTGAAAACTGAAGTGATAGTGTTGTATACAGAATGCACGAGACTAAAGGAGGGACGTGCGAGCATCCTAGCCTGGCGAAGTGGCGGGTCAGGGTGCTTGCCGAGCATCCTGCCTGGAGGAGAGGGTACCTGAGCAGATCTTAAAAGGAGGCTGGGGAGGAATAAGCCATGGGAAGATAGCAGGGAAGAGCATTCTTAGTAGAAGGGACTCCGTGTTCAAGTGAGGGAGGAAAGAGCCAGCAGAGCATGTGCAGGAGCGACGTGTTTTGGTGTTGCTGCAGCACGAGGTCCAACGTAAGAAGCAGGATGAGAGAAGACTGGAGGGGTGAGTACCACCTGGGCTGCAGCCCCGCCCTTCGGCAGGTGCTCTGGATCCCGTCAGTTATCCCTTAATAAGCGTCGCTGTTGTCTCTGGGACCCATTACATTCTCCCCAGCCTGCTGTCGCTCTGGCAGCCCTGCTTCGCCTTCCCGAGCCTATCTCGCTCCCCACGGGACTGCCCAGTTGATCTCAAACATTTCCTTTTAGGGCTTATAGTTACTAAGAGCTTATTGCGGGGCGTACTGACCCTGCTGTGAGTCCCTGCCTGTGCCTCAGCCTCACGAGTCACTGCAGCGTGAATAGCATATGCTTTCAGGGCTCCATTTCCTTGCTAGTTTCAAGTGACCTTCCCTTTGCCATCTTTTCCACTTCTTGACATTCTCCCTTATCCCCAGAGCTACCCTACCTACTTGCTTTCCTGCACACTATCACAGTACTTTGCAACTACTTCATTTTTCCCTATATAATGGTATATAGCTTATGCCCTCAGAGTCACACAGATGTGGGTTCAAAGTGTATCTGTGCCCTATATTAGCAGTGGCCCCCTGCGCAAGTGACCTTGCCTGACTTTGATCTCTCCTCTCTTGCTCTGTGCTTCACGGCTTTGTCATACTGCATAACATGAGCTCTGGGTGGTAGGATTAGACTTACAATTCTTTTAACTCAGTATTGATAGCTAGAGAATTTTAACTGGTCACAAAACTGCAGTGGTGTCCAAGCCTTATAGTCTTACTCATGATAAAAATCTAGCACAATAGTTAAAAGGCTCTGACCCTGGCAGCTTGGTTTCCAGTGTTGTCTCTGCTACTTCCTGGCGGTGCATCCTCAGACAAGTTACTCAGCCTTGCTCAGCCTGTTGACTCATGTTTATTATGAGGATAATAATGATACCTGTCCCATAGAGTTCAGGACTTAAATGAGTTAAAGCCTAGAAACATTTGCCCTGTGGTAGACACACAGCAGTAGTTAATGTTGGTTGCATATATATATTTGTTATGAGATAGCCACCTGACCTGAAAGATGTGTAAATACTTAATGCAAGCCTGATTGTTTTAGCCCCTTAAAGCCATTTGGTTCTGTGACACCTCAATAGCTCGGCCATGACCTTGTCTTCTATACATATTTGAAAGCTGACTTTCCTGGCTTCCCCTGCAGGTTCCTAGACGTTATGACTAATGCTCTGACTGGTAGTCTTCACCACATCTCTTCTGAAAACCTATTAAATGCTGTGTGTTCATTTTGCTTGATGAACCGTTTCCCTCTGGCCCCTGTTAATCAGCTTCTCCAGAAGGACATCATCAATGAGCTGCTGACCTCAGGTAGGACATCATCGTGCCGCGGTGACTGAAATAAGGCAGAACCAGCAGGCCGCCTGGTGATTCTGAGTGGGGTCTTAGTTGCAGCAGTGTTAGCTAAAACGTGTGGAGCGGCTGCTACTGATGAAAGGGCCAATAACGGTGAAGTCAGGGCAATGCTTCAAACCAGCAAACGTAAGGAGCCACCTTTAAGTCAGTGACAGATCCTGCACATAGGAGGCAAGAATAAGAAACACATCATCACTGTTCCTTCTGTTTACACTTTATGCGCCTGCACAAAGGCCGAATGTCCGAGCTGTTCTTTATGCCTTGATCAGAGGCGTTTGTGCTTCTAATCCTTACATGTCACATCTGAAGCCAAGTTAAGTCAACTTTTGCAGCTATAAACACTTTTTATTCACGGCCTATAATGAGGGCATAGCTCATTAGATCAAGAAGCTAAATACGTACCAAAGTAGTGAATTTATTTACTCTTGGAGCCAAATTAATTGTTGACTTTCAGTCTTTAATATTAAACAAGGAAAAGCAATATCAGGCTAGACATACACAATTTGATGCTGTGTCTGGGAACATAGTAGTTTAAATTCTTTTAAAAGCAATGTATGAAATTTCAAAGTTGAACAGGGATGAAGGAACACCATGTGCTGATTTTTTCAAGCAATCTAATATGGAAGAAACAGCCCTGAACCCAGGAGACCTGGATTCTAGTCCCAGATTTGCCTTTACTTAATCATGAGGTGTTTTAACATTCCTGGGCATTTCCTCGTCTGTTCAATGAAGAGTTTAGGCTAAAG